TAGGGCCACGTCGGGGATTATACGTCACGGCACAGCTGAGCCTCTCTCGTATCCACGTGAAATACCGTCACGTTCCTCGGTCGTGTGCGTTTCACATGTACACACACGTACGCGTACGAACATCGGCTCACGTGCTACGTTTCCGTGTGTATCCGCCAAGGGGATGAAGGCAGGGGCGTAGAGATGAATATGTGAATATGTGCCACGTGAGCTAGCGGCCGAACGAAAGCGAAAACGAGGTTGGAGGGCCTCCTCCACCCTCAACCTCCTCCAACCTCATCCTCATCCTCCGCCGTCATCCTTCTTCTCTCCGTCTCTCTCTCTCCCTCTCTCTCTCTCGCTCGCTCGCACTGCGAGTTTGCCGCTGCTCGATGTATTGCACACCGATATGCACACAGCCGTGCAGCATTCGGTTCGATGTGTGCGGCATAGATGCGGAGCGAGGTCGAGTCCCGGTTTACTGGCTCACCCTCTCATCGCTCGCCTCCGACTCCTCCTACGTCGGATTTCCTAGTCAATACGTCCGTGACGTGAGTTTCGACAGCTTCTCCGCTCAAAACGAGTCTCTGTCGTTGCGGTATTCCTGGTCCCGTCAGCCGGATCCGGGGCAAGCTTGACGATTCAGTTTTCTTCAGGTGTTAACCTGCTGCTGCTGCTTCAGGTCTGTCCCCCACTCTTTCCCAGCTTCTTGCTTCTTTTTAACGGAACCGTACAGTTTTTAACACACCGATCGATCGTTGCCTGTAAAAGGTTGATGAACCATTCGCGCGGAAGAAGTAGTCAGCTGCGAGGAAAAAGATTTCAGGCGAAACTGAGGAACAACGTGAATGATTCGATCTTGCCTTTCTGTCGAGCATTGGCAAACGTACGTGTAGCTTCACGAACAATTTCTCATTGTTATATTAATTGTGTTATATCGAAGATGTTATAAATTATAATGTTAGGTATTGTTATGTGTTATTACTATATAATGGTATCTAGCATCGTTGCAAGTTAACACCGTTACATACTGGAACGCCGTCAGTCAGAAGTTGTCGCACCTCTGTCTGCAAAATGACGTTCAGTCGTGGGCGATTATTATTCCATGTACTTGGTAGTTGCACGAGTCTGATAAATCGCCATGTGTCGCGGAAACGCGAATGGAAATTGTGTCACATTCGACAATGGATTTTGTGGTCGCGATTAGTCGCAAGTGGAAAAGAGGCCTTAGGTCGGACCGAGCTGTTCTTCTGTTCGATATTCTATTTCGTTTTTCATTAGTTTCGGTCGCTTCTAAAATGGGTTAACTTGGGCAGAAAGGGAAGAACAGACAGCTGACGACGTTATAAATATTTTTCGATAACCGTGCGCTTTGTAGTTGGTTATGAAAGCAATTTTTATACGCAAGGCCAACAGCTGTTGTTATTACTGTCACAGTTACTCCTACTCTTTCGCTGTAGTAAAATTTCACAGAGAATAACAAACATACAGTTAATTTGCTTGTACACTTTATAATGGCACCACTTCTTTTCATCTATATGGAAAATCATTTAACTGTACGTTTGCCATGCTTGATCTTTGAGGAGATCTGCGACATGTTTAAAGAGATAAGATATCTTCCTTCTAATTGTTGTTTATCCTTCTTATATTCCTGCGCAAGTTGAATCATTTCCTCCCGAATTGGGACCATTACAAGCCCTAAAGGGAAAAAGAAAGGACAATACAAATTCCCATAAATAGAAGCGCCATCCGCGCCACCACGAAGCTGCAAGAAGTCCATTCCAACGATTTATGGTCCAGCAGCTTCGAATGGTCAAAATCTTTGCCTCCTTTCGGTTCGATCTACCGCTGTTCCCATACTACGAATCACGCGATAAAAGGAACACGGTCGATCGGTAGATTCGAACTTGCAGAGGAACATAATGGACGTGGTCGTAGGTCAAGAGCGCGCGATACGCGCAGTCATAATAGGAAGGTCGTTCTGATCGGTGTTTATCGGTCGGCGGAGTTTTTTAAACGGGCGTATTCATCAGAAAATATGTTGGCAAACAGCGTTGCCAAACAAAGCTCCTTCCTTTCTCCACGATACGCCGCGATTACGCGCGCATTCCGCGCATTACCGGTGGCACGCGCCGATTACGTAAAACACGGCTCGCTGCCGCATCCATAATGTACGAGTCGGCTTCGCCAAAGCACGCCAAGTCTGTCTCAGCCGCGAAAACACGCCGTGTGTTCGAAGCCGTACGATCCTATCGGTTCGATCTCGCTCCGGCTATCGTTCCTTTTGCTCCATCTTCCTTTTCGTCTCCCTCTCTCTCTTTATCCTCCGCTTCGTGCACGTCCAGCTGGAATAAGGAGCACAAGCAAGGCCGTGGTCGGCGGTACGCCGCGGTCTAAACTTGTCCGGCGATGAAAACTTGGCACGAAACATCCTAGTGACCCCATTGTCTGCTTTGCTCGCAGAGGCAACACTCTCCTTCTTCCAGGCCCCTCCGCCTCCATTAAGCCCGAATTAACAAAGGGTAGATGTACTCGCGCCCACGACCCCCGACCTGCGAGCCTGCCACACCGTTTCCCCACCTCCTGCAGCTTCTCCGTCTCCTCATCTCCCTCCTGCTCCACCAACACCGACTCCTCCGCTTCTAACCGCCGCCGCTTTATGGTCGTCTCTGTTGCGTACCAGGGGCCATTTGTTTCTAACTGCCAGGCAAACACCAACACCCTCCGATCCGACCACCGGTCAGAGCAACAGGTCCTTCAGGACGCGATCACACGTTGGCCACCAGCTTCCTACGCGCTGGCAAAGCCTATGCACCGTCCACTGGCCCAAGGTGTTCGCTGAGAGGATTCAGGACGCGGACGAGTACAGCAGGAGACGAGATACGGCTCGAGGATGTGGAAATTTTGCCGATGTGGAATTGTTTGCCGAGGATGGCGAGGAGTGTGAGAGGGTTCGAGCAGGTACGAGATTCGCTACACGGACAGGTTTCCACTGTGTGCGCTTTTGTGTTTCATACGAGCAGAGCGAGGAGGAGAGTAGAACAGTTTCCTGGTCGTCTTGGAAGATTTCACGCATTTGTTTCGTTGATTTGTATATTCCTGTCCGTATAACAGGTGGTTGGGTTGTACTCGAAGAAAGCTTCCTACTTCTCCGAAGCAAGTGGATGAGGCGATCGAAGGGAATGTTTATATCTCGCGCAGGAGATTCAACTCTCTCTCTTATGCTTCCGAAATTAATTCGATGAACATTCCATAGATTTCGTTCGATAGAAATTCACAGAACAAGGGTCGCGACATCGGCAACTAGGATTTTAAGTACGTAGTTCCGCGAGGAATATTTCCATCGTTATCAAATCGGCCAGTTAGACGAAAAAGATGAAAAACGTTTGAAAAAATTCATCGACGAGCCCACCGTCGTCGTACACCAGCGACGAGTTCGATTTTCCATTTTTTCCCGTGTCCGCACACAAGCAGAAGGCGCGAGTTGGTGAGTTGGTGGAACTCGTTAACGAAATCCTGAAGGCAATCAATCCATCGCGTTCGGAACGCACGCGACCGGAAATAAATCGTCGGATCACGAGCCATGTCGTTCGACACAGTCGCCACGGAGTACATTTTTCTCCCCCCCTTTTTTTTTTTTTCAAACTGGGTCAACGTGTGACACGGTATGGAAACTATAATAAATCTTGCTGGTGGGTGGCGTGGGACTTGACCTTGCCGCTTGAACTTGTCCCCTTTCCCGACAGCGTAGTTTCGACCGCCATATAACTTCGCCAGTCATTCTTCTTCCCCTGTTGGATCGCCGTAACTTGAATCATAAACTTCCGAGAAATAAAGGATTCGCGGAAACTGCCGTCGGATTCTGCGACGTACGAGCTTCCGGGGCATTTACCTCTGTCTGGCCGGCTCTCCTTCCATTGTTGCTGAACGTCGATTGTCCCTGTTCCTTCGCCAACCGCTGTCTCTCGAATATCTGCACCGGCGTTGCGTAAAATACAGACGTTTCGTACAATGGCTGGCAAATCTATACAACGTTTAACTGTTCAGGAAATATTCGATGTACTGTACGACGATGCTAACGAGTTATCATTAGAATCGTTGAAGAACAAAGGAGCGTGTCGTTAGAGCAAACGTGACCACACTTTTCGCAGGAGACTTTCAAATAGACGAGCATCGACAGTGGTAGGCAAAGTATGATCAGCAAACCGCCAACAATAGACCGTTCAGGCGTTGCAAATATTTTAGTTGCCTCTCGTAATTATTTACACACGCATCGGCGCAGCATAACTCCCTACGAACTACGCAGCATCCTGCGTGCTCGCAAATATTGACATTAAAATTCCATTGGCCGAATCGCGGGACAGGAAGCATCGACGAAACGTTCGATCGAATAGTAATAATGGAAAAGGGTTGCTGTAATACGGAGCCAGCTTCGCTATATTTCCGGTAATTCGAGTAGACCAGCGAAAAATCGCGCAAGAATTTTCCTTCCGTGCAACTGTTGCGTAATTTGTGTCGATTTCTCTGCGTTGTATCTTCCTTAGTATCGCGTGTTATTGGATTAAACCATAAATAATGGATAGTATCGAATATAGCGTTGTAATTATGGTAAATCTATGCAGGATATTTCTGCCGTATAAACAAATTGTAGCAGCTTTTGACACGCTGCTGAACTAGAACGAACGAACACGGATTCTTTTTTAAATTTCAAGATTAATGTTACAATAAGCACGGAGAATGATATATACGACACTTAGGATCATAACTAAAACCGTCTGTAACTGTAACGTAAGCTCGATGACTTTTCCGCTGATTGATTTCGCAGGTCAGTTCAACTGTCCTGGTCTTTGACCGATTGCGCTGTGTCGTATGCACCAGGACCAGCTCGAAATCCATGCAAATGGAGTCACTTTTTTGAAACATGAAAATACAAGTTGGAGTAACCAACTTTCGCGAATCTCGTCAGGCAGTGCAGGCCTATCGATTAGGGTGCGCTCGTAGGACGACAGGACAGGACAGAAGGGGAAGGTCGTTTCACGTTGCGGCGATAAGAAGACAACGCGAGAGCTTCGGTCGGCAATCCGTTTGGCGACGAAACAAGCGCGCAGCGACGTTGGTAACGGCGCGAGGCTGCGAAATAAATGGAGGGAATGCCAGCGTAAAACGTCGATAAGCCGAAGAGATGAAAGGGCGAGAACGAAGCCCGTAACTGGCGGTACATGTGGGCCAACAGTTTGTCGAGGTGACGTCGCTACGATATGGGGGCAGGTCAGTGATATCCAAGCGGAGTTTAAACGGTTGTTCGCCTGGCTACAAACTCTCGATGGCCAGTGAAGGCTCTCGAACTGCTCTCAAGCACGCTGCAACAAAACAAACCTGTCGACTTCGTTCCACTGGTCGCCCCTTCCAGCGCTCTTTACTACCCTTCCCTCTACAAATAATAATACTATCGATTCGCTTGTCTACCTGCTCCTTGCAGACACAAACGCGCGCCGTTCTACGTGTTTCGTCCACGTGTCTTATTCGCTCTTTAAGTTTGCTATTATTTTCTTGCAAAACGAACGGAACCTTTGCAACAGCCTGGAAGATTATTACGCCAACATTTCCTCTTTTCCACGAGATTCTTTCGCCAAAGTGCGCTGCGTCTCGTCTTAGCAGCGTGTGATTCGAGCAGCCGCAAGCCCAAGCACGGTTCATCCCCGTTGCTAGCTGGTAGTTATTATGCGTGGGGCGAGTTTCAAAGACCGTGATCGTAACCTAACAATCAGGGCTCCGGGTAGTTAGTGGGGCTATTAGCCGACGTCGCTGTGCCGCCCAGTAATCAACGCCTGGGCCGCGTGCTCCTGGTGAACGATAGAGCAAGAGTGAAACAGAGAGGGACGAGGACGCAAAGAGGAGAGGCAGGACGCCGTTGCACGCGCTTTGAGCCACTGAAACACCGTAACGGCACAATTATCGTTAATCGGCGAATCGTAACAGGGCGTTAGGTAGGCGGCTGTCGCACGATGAAGAGCGCGACGACGGCAACGCGTGCAGGCAACAGGGATACAGACAGGGATACCTTCATCGACTTGGCGATCATCTGAAAAAGCTGCTACGCTTCAAACAATTTGCTCGCCGTGTCGCGATTTAACGGCCATTTTATGCTATCTCGTGTATCTTTATGGGTCGTTTGGTTCAACGTTTGGCTTGTTAATCCTGTACTTTGTCCATGTTACGCGCTATTATATAGAGTGCCGTGAATAATTACCGACTTATCGAGAACGTACTTTTACGTTCGTGGCAATGTTGCAACGAAAATTCAGGAAATCGTTTACACCACTCAGGCAAAATCGAAGAAGGAGGAAGCAGGCATTTTCTGCTTCTTCGAACTTCGCAAGGAAATAAATCTTCCGTCAAAGCTGTGCTTTTCGTCGTGGAAAAGTATGAACTCGCCTGTTAATTTTCTCGCTCGTTCATCCTACGTTTGATAATGTCCAGGCCACTGAGTAGAGACTCGGTCGAGTCGTCGCGCGTGTAGTTAGAAGATTTTCGTTATTCGAGTTAGGACGACGATTATGTCGGTCCTTGTGACGCGAATAATAAATTTATTCGTGTACAGAAGTGCTTGCACAAGTTCCTGCGCCATTCTCCCTCCTGACGTTTCTAACTTTCCCAGTCATTTTTCCCTGCCAAGTGTATATCACTTTAATCAAATTTTGTACATTATATCGATAAGATTGCCTCGATAAAACGATCCTTAAATCGCGTCGGAATTTCGGACAATAGACGAATGAAATACACGCGTACGTAAATAAGCGTCTGAAGGAGTAGCATATTTATGGAAGTTTTAAGGAGATAAGGAATTGCTCGATCAGACAGCAGCATCGTTAGCCCAACTTGAGTTTCCAGCAACGTTATTAGCTCCTCTCAAGAAGAAAGTAAAACCAAGGAAAAAGGCAATATATTGATAGAGATTCAAGTAGAAACAGCGATCGCGTCTGACTAAGCGCTTCCTTATCTCCTTAGAACTTTCCTAAGTACTCGGTACACGATACTCGTTTCAGAGTGCGTGTCTCATTTTTCAATTTCCATCGATGTATCGTCTCATGGCGAGTGGAAGAATATTGAAATTTATTTATTTATTCGTACATCGTTCTCTCGTCTTTGTTGATTTTACCTCGCGACAGCGGTCTAAAAGCTGATGCTTGTCATTTCCTCTCACCGCATTCGCAATGCAATTTTTACACATTCCAATTTTACACATTTACAATTGTTACATTTACATAGTTTATCGATCTAATTGCTTCGTTTCTAACGATCGTTTCACGGTGTCTTCTCGACCCGACTTTCGCGTTATTCATTCAGCGGCATAGTAAAACAGCGTCGTGTGCAGTATTTCGCGTAACATTTCAATGAACAAAGCGCGTAAATTAAAATAAATCGATTAATTCATCTACGCCCGATGGTTTACCTCAACGAACTGCAATATCATGTAAATTACATTAACGTGGAATCCAACAGAGCCGCTCGATTCACCGGCAATTATAATTTCCATTGTGTCGTCGTTATTTATTCTAATGTATGGAAACGATTTTCCAACATTAAGCTTAGAGTCTCGGGCCAGAAATTCAGCTCGCTCCGTTTCAGTCACCAGCTGCGTTCCTTTGTGCCTTGTACTTTTTAACGAACAACTTCGTTTTTCGATAAACTGCTTTGTTTAGCAAGTTTGTAATTGTCACGCGTACCTCGCGGTTTATCTTTATTTACGTTGGTTTCTCGCCGCGATCGAATGGAAATCGTGCAAGCACGTAATTTGTGTAAGTTTGAAATTCGATGTCAATTAGATGGCACCCAACGATATTGGGAAATTTGCGAAAAGCGCGGTCGACTGGGTTGCCTTTTGAGAGAAAACGAGGCACGAGACCGAAGAACGTAAGTGAGACACAGGTTTTAGCCAAGCTGTTTTTTAAAATCTTTTTAACAATTTGTTGCTGTCCTTTCTTGGAGCAAAGCAAGAAGAAAATGCCAGAACGAAGTTTAGAGTTACAACAGCGTATCAGAATACTACTTACGTTTCTGGTCACAAATTTTACCGAAATCCTCAGGTGGAAAGTTGCACAGGTCAAATTATTTTTAATAAAAATTATACCTCGTATTATTTGATATTCGATGTTTATTAATCGATAATTCGCTCAATTTCACTTCACTTCAGACTTCCAGCGAAGAAACGTAAGCGGATGCTCCCTATCTTATCGCAACTTATCTCAACCCTTGGCGATGATTTTTGCCAAAAAAGCAATCGTACGACTCACCTGTACAAACACTTACGATAGCGACTTCACCTTTTTATACATCGAATTACTTAATTAACCGACTAAGATACGCCAAAGTACAGAAACTACTATCTCTAACAATGTTTCGTTTACTGAGACGAGCTTTTGTCATTTTTGTTCTACGTGCTATCTCGTATGGATGATGATTCTCTATTAGAATCTACTAGTCGCAAATCATTCTGAACGTAATTAGATAGGACAATTACAACGATCGTATCACGGTACCTGACAGAGCCACTCTACGAAGGAAAGGAAAAAATATTCCTTCGAGTTGTTTGAATAAACGAAAGTGAGTGTCTATGAAGTGGGAAAAACGATCGGCTCGTAGAAGTCGTTTATCGGTTCAATTTAAAACGAAAGTGCCTTCACGAGTGATTTCTTTCTCCCCATAAATACACCTGCACTTCTTATTTATTTTCCTCCTCTCTTAGCAAGTCGACGATAATCTTTTAAGACCATAATCTTGCGTATGACGTATAATTTAAGAGCAACGATACACCACACGATTCACGGGAAATTAAGTGAACAGCATTGGTTTACCTGAGAATTCGATCTTGAACTCTGCAGGGTATAGTCAGCTCTATTGTGCGACACAACTTTCTGTAGTTTGATGTATAGAACGATAGGAAATTCTGCCAGGAAAACTATAGCACTGCAGCTGTTAGTGCGAACGATTTACTTAATTTTGTAATCTTCAGGCGATGTAATGGCCTTTTGTGTAAAAAGTGCGATAAAATAATAGGAAACTTTTGATCATGTAATATCGTACACGTGTTCA